GCCCCAAAGTGTAATAGATAGACTTTTTTCCTGATATTTTTCTGAGGATAATGCTGAAAACCGTAACTCGATCTGTTCATCAGAAAAAAATTTCCGATTTATTGTCTAACTTGCCTGGTCTAATATGTGGTCGCACATTGTCATGATGAAAAAGTGCGTCGTATAGCCGATCAGGTCTTTTTTGTTGAATAGCCGCGTAAAGTCACCGTAATGTTGGACATAGAGTTCTAGGTTGACGGTTTGATTCTTTGGTAAGAGTTCGTAATAAAAAATCTCTTTCCATTCCCACCAGACATATGTATAACGTTGTCTTTCGAGAAAGATGTTCTTGTTCGCAGAGGTGCTTGTTTTTTGGGGCTTAACCATTTTTTTTTGCTGTTTCAAGTTCACATACAGAAATCATTTTTCATCACCAGTGATGATGATGAAGAATACGTCCGTTCTTTATGATTACGTGTTGATCGATGACTACAGAGCAAACCAGCGGTAATTGTGGAGCGTTCATTCTTATCTTTCATAAGCCATCTCCTAAGCCAACTCCCTTGTGGATTGTACTAAATTTTTTCAAATGACATGTTGATTTGACAATGCGTTTTTCCGCGTGAATTTTTAAATTTGAGAAAAATGGACATTACTTATTCCTCAACCTATTAGATTTAGCTAGTCCTTTATCGGATAAAGTTACAAAAAACAAAAATGTGTATTTACAGCATTTTCTACAAGTTCAAAACATTACCAATACTTGGACACAATATTTCCCCCATGAATTCGAATGCGTCTAGATCTAACTACGATAGAAACATGGAAAAATAAACATGCGCAGATGCCTTATCATTTATCATGCATAAAGTTGGATTCAAATATGCTACATAGTCCAACCAAATTGCTCTTGGAGAAAAAAAAAATTGTTACCTGAACTTTTATAAGTGGAAATGGTAAAATGGCTTATAATAAACTTAAAAAACAATAAATGCGTGAGCAGGGGCGGCGGAGGGTCGATTTGGGGGATTGAAAAGTTATGAAAAATTGTATCATTGGTATTTCTGACGAAAGTTGACGTCAAACAAAAAAGTATCTAATACAAAAGTTGTAGATCATACAAAAATCTACAACTTTTGTAGTAGTCACTTTTTAACATAAGCTCAAAATTTCCGAGAAAAACGCGAAAAACAGTTTTTTTCTGATTTTTCGTTTTTTATTTCTTATTTCCGCAAAAATAATTTAATTTTGACGAAACTTGGTGAAAGTATACCTTTCTCTGTCTTAAATAACCTCAAATCTTTTTAGATAAAAAAAATCAAGAAGTTTCTGAGATATTCATTTTTTTCGATCTGAAAGACTTTTTTTTCAAAGAAAAATGCTACTTAAAAAAATCATCGTACAAGGTTCTGCCGGTAATCATTTTTTTCGTTTTGACATATATTTTTTGGTGAAATAAAAAAATCTGTAATGACAGTTCAAAAACATGCTCAAAAATGCAAAAAAAAATAAAAAATTACTTGCAACAATGAATTTTTCAGTTATTGTTGATAATTTGTTTAAATTAAAAAACACTCAAAAACTGATTACACCATTCAATTCTACGGAAAAAAAATTAAAAAAAGCTGTTTCTCATTGTCTGACCCAAAACTTTATTTTTGTACAGTATTGCTATAAACATCTAAGTCGAATTACAAATGCACAAATGATAAATTATCTCTGGATGATTTGAGATTTCAGCAATACAAAGTATTAACTGCAAAGTCTACTGTTGACGCGAAATCCGAAAACCCGAAATTTTGCAAAATCGTTTTATTTTTTTTCTGGCTTTATTTGAAAACGAATTTTAAATAAATTGCATATTTACATTGCCACTTTTTTCGCTCTATCCAATGGCGTCAACATTTTTGCAATCCGACGTTTCGTCTTCGAGGGGCCATCATCAGATTAATTTATTCAAATATATCGCTGCTATTTTTATGACAAAATCTAGTCATTTTTAATTCTGTATTAGATGATATTACTATTGTAATCGCTTAAAAAGGTTTCTAGCTATCATTAAAAATTGTTCCTGAGTACGGCTCTGAACGCTTTCAAAATACCTGTATCTATTGGAGTAGGGAGAGAGAGAGAGAGGAGAGAATAAAAGTCAATACAGCACAAAATGTCCAACAATTTTTTTTAATCCATAATTTAAAAAGTTGTATCTACCTAATAAAAAAAAAATACGAATTTATGAAATATTTTATTATTTCTAATTAGTATTGCTAACAGTAAAAAATGTTGTGCGGTATTGACTTGTATACTGTTATGACTTCATCCAATTAATATTTTGAAAGCGTTCAAAGCCGTACGCACGAAAAATTTTAAATTATAGCTAAAACAAGCTAAAAACTTTTTAAGCAATTACAATAGTAATATTGTCTATTTCAGAATTAAATCACTTTAGATTTTTTTCTAATCTGAGCCACCCCGTATCTCTTACCGTTTCCTAGATCCTAATGCTATCCCATCCTTATCTTGGACACACTATATATTTATGAATTCAGCAAACTTTAAAAAAAAATAAGTACACTAATCGATCCTACGGAAAAAAATTATTATTTATTTTATTTATTCACTAATCGACTTAGTTTTATAGCAATACTGTACAAAAATAGTTTTGGGTCAAACAATGAGACAGTTTTTTTGTATTTTTTCCGTACAATTGAATAGTGTAATCAGTTTTTGTTTTTTTTAAATTTAAACAATTTATCAACAATTACTGAAAAATTCATTGCTGCAAGTCATTTTTAAATTTTTTGCATTTTTGAACATGTTTTTGAACTGTGGTTACAAATTTTTTTATTTCACCAAAAGCTACACGATCAGTGACAAATTAGATAATACCACTACAACAAATTATTTCAGATAACCTGCCTGACCAACTGGGAATTTAGGAGTTACGTTTCTAAACGAAATTAATAAAACGAAAATGATTTTTTTACTATTTTTTTACTATGAACGCTCTCACTATACTAAGACGCTTTATCACTTATTTCATTTATAATTTTTATTATAAAGCAACATTTATTTTCTTTTTATGATATTTGTCATATTACATCTGTACACTACTAATTCTGGTTAAGTTTTGCAACTTAATGATGACAATGTCAATAATGGCATTAACATAAAAAATAACTAGTAACACTCATTAATTCTACATCCAGCATGAGTAAGTAATGACAATGATAATAACATTGTTTCAAAACAGTTGCGACTATTTTGCATTTTAAACATTTGATTGTCCATAGACCTAACCAAAAACAATAATTCCTTAAGTGAAAAGACGTCATCTATAAACCCTATTGTACATGGCGAAAGTGAAACAAAAGAGTGATGAATGAAATATTTTTTGAAAAAGAGGACGACATCTTCTCTACGTTTCGAATAACAGTTACGTTTTGCAAAGAACTGCACAAACAAATAGGTACATAAATGCTTTTTTTGCTGCACATGTCGAAGATTTATAAGATACTCTGCAGGGGAAAGTTCACCAAGATGAACTACAGGAACAAAATGGGAAATAGCCTTTTGATTGGTAACAAGTGTAATTTATTAAAAGTTTGCTGAACTAACATGGTACGCATATTATAGAAGGGACGTCTGATCTAAAATCTCATTAGTTGCATTTTATAAACAGTGGCCTGTTATACATATACAGGGTGGCCCAATTAAAACAGTCCACCTGAAATATTTTCAAGAATCTTCAATGGCATGGGGGGTTAAGTGGCACATCATTTTAAAGGTATTTCTCTTCTTCTCTTTACAAACATGTTGAAATTTTTTTGTTCTACCTTAAAATTAATGTAAAAAACCTGTTCACCGACACTTCCCATATGTCCCCCTTGACTATGAGAAGATTTAATACAACTACAGAGCCTTCATAAATGATTACAAGCCACGTTACCAGTATTTTTGTTTGGAACAGGATTAAAATAATAAAATCAAGATTACATTAAAACACAACATTCTGTTTCACCAGCTGTGATTTCCATTCAACCAATGAACGTAGGCGAAACGGTTTATTACTATTTATTGTAAACAAATCATTATTACTGGATTTAAAGATTTGTTACAAGTACGGTAGCTCTGTACACCATTTTGCCTAACTTTCCGCTACGTTTTTTTATACTATTATCTTATTCTACATCTTATTTTATATCTCATTTTATATCTTTAACAGTAGATGTGTAAAATAACAAAAAAATATTTAAAAAATGATTTAATTTTCTTCTCTTTATACGGAATGTTCCTTGAGATGGATTCTTTTGTAGCCTTACTAATATCAGTCATACAATTATATAGAATGTACCATTCTTCAGAGCGTTAGGGACTACTACTAAAATTAATATTTTTTCAATTGAAATACCCTATATATTACCGTATTTGTTTTAGTTTTCCGTTGATTTTGCAACCATCTTTGATAAATAAATTGTCAATATAAGTCGTACTGTTCGATGTTTTTTTTTAAAGTTGATAATAATCTCATCCCGCATTTTGACAATCATTATTGTAAAATTTTTCTAATAATTTTTTAAAGGTAGCCAATAATTTATTTACTAGAACAAGAGATTCACAGATAAATTTTAAAATGCAATAATATACAGGGTATTCCATTTTAAGGTATGGATAGGTAACAACGTCCAAAAGAAATGGAACACCCTGTATAGTGAAAAATGTGAAGAAATTGATTAATCGAAATACTTTTGTGTTACTGGTATTATCAGAGCTACGGTAGAATCCGTCTTAAATAGACACCCTGTATGAAGAGATTCGGCCTTAAAAATTTTATTACCTTGAGAATAAAAATGAAAGTATTCAAAATAACAAGTTATTCGATAAAAATTAATTTTTCTATTATTAAAGGGTATCTATGAATTTCAGTGAAAATACCTGTACCTAATTAATGTATAACTGTGGACACAAAGATCCATAAAAATCGTAAGTTGTAGGATAAAATTTTCGAAAAAAATACTCACTAAAGAAAACTGTAGACCAGTACGATTCATAGAGGAGGAAATGGAGAGCACACAGTGCAGACAGCGTGATTTGGATTTGGAATAATACTTTCAACCAGTTAATCTCGCGTGATAGAGATAGCGTTTCGTCCTTTTCGGCCTTATTAACTTCAGAGGACATTTTGAAATTAAATGGAACTGCCTGACAACCGAACAGTACACCACCAGGTCACTATCTACCTCCTAATGTGTGCGATAATTAAAAACTATCCACGTTCAGCACAAAGGAAATTATATGGAAATACATGCTAATAGAGAAAAGGTTATAGTCATTCGTAACACTTTGACAAATGCGGTATTTAATGCCAACCGTGATTATTTCCTATCTGATTGGAGTAAGTGGAGGGACTAATACGCGTCGGGGTACGTAATCAGTTTAATGATCCCTTAAATGCCCAGAGTTGCTAATTGAGCAATTTAAGTTTAATGTCACGTAATTTAGGTTAAGCCGAAATTTGTTCAAAATACTACAATTTATTGGGAATGCAATCAAATTAGTGTTCCACAAAGAAAACTGTCATTGCCTGTCCAATGACGGGTTCTACAGGGTGTCCCAGAATAACGTGTACAACGGAAGATCACAGACTCGTGGACTCAAAATAGGCAGATTTACGCTAATTCACCTATATCCGAAATCGCTTCGTTTCGCTAGATGACCTCAAAGTTAGTGAAATTTTTTTGAATTTTGTAAATAACTCGAATGTGTATTATTCGATTTTGATTATTTTTTGGGCGTTGACTTATGCTTTCAAACTACAAATTTTGGTTTATACAGAATGTTTTTTAAACTCACAACTCCTACAAAAATTGATGTATGCTGATAAGAACCGTTCATAAATTTTTCCTCTTTCGGACAATAATGACAACTATTTTTTATTTGATATCCATTTGGAAGTTTTAGGGCCTCTTATAGAATTTTGATTAAATGAGCGGTTTGGATACAAAAAATATTTTTTAAATGTTCACGTTATCTTGCGACCAGTGGCGGCTCGTGAAAGAGGACTCTGGGACTCCGCCCCCTCAGATATTTTCAAACTGTAAACTTAAAATAATTAATTTAATTAAATCAATAAAAAATCTAAATAGCATGCATTCAATATGTCTTGGATGTTAGGTTGTTTGCATAAAGTGCATGTACTCCGTGAACGTAGCTCAGATAATGCCTTCTGCCATCTATGATCGTACCAGAGAGTTATGTTTGACCGCGCGCGCAATCCCCACTCCATCGCGGTCGGTGAAATCTGAGTCCATCGTGCAAGCATATTTTTACATATGATTGGACAAATTGGCACGTGGAGGGGATAGGCGACGATAGGCTCGCGCGCTTTGTTTTGGACTCCATGTGTCAGTAACCCGTATCACTGAAGTGTGGTTATACGTGTTTTGTTTTTACTTTGGCGTTTTTTAAGGCATTATATTTTGTCAGTTTAAGTTTAAAATGGGGGTTTGTGAAATAAAAAAACTTGTTATTAGTAATTTAAGTTTAGAGGAAAAAGTCGAATTGAAAAATAACGGACGTCCAACGCCAATGTTGAATTTAGTTCAGGTGCAGAAAGAGTGCAAAAGTAGCCCAGCTTTTGTTCGTAAAATAAAATAAAAACATTTATGATAAAACCCTGTGGTTGTGACGAAACAAATAAATTTTTTTGTTTTGTATGTTTATTGTTTGGAGGAGGCGAAGAAAACTGGACGAAAACTGGAGTTTCTGACTTGAAACATTTACCGGACAAAATTAAGAAACATGAAAATTCTCCTAAACACAAAAATAACTTGGTGAGTTTTTTACTTTTAGGAAGAGTAAATATTGCTTCTTGTTTAAGTAGTGCTTATGCAGAACAAATAAATAGTCATAACGAAACGGTTAAGAAAAATCGATTGCTTCTTTAAAAAATTATAGATATCTTAAAATTATGTGGTACATGTAACCTTCCTCTTCGTGGACGTAATGAAAAAAGTAACTTTTGCAAAAATTCTAAATAAATTTCCCCATTCTATTGGGTAGAATAACAGGGCCAATAATAATCCCAAACCAAACATTGATGCGAAATTCATGTTGATAATGTTTCAGTTTGATAGCATGTGGATTTTCTTGAGCATACACATGTTAATTGTGAATATTTATTATTCCGCTTCTAGTAAAACAGAATTGACAGGTACAATGATTTAAAGATCAAACTGAAATCCAGTCAACCTACAAAATCAGAGCCTCTGGCGCTTTGTTAAGTATTGTAGTATGAGTGGCAAGATAATGTATACATTTAAAAAATATTTTTTTGTACCCAAACCGATCATTTAATTAAAATTTTACAAGAGTCCCAAAAACTTACAATTGAATAAAAAATTATTGCCCGAAATAGAAAAAGTTATGTACGGATATTCTCACCATACATCAATTTTGTAGGAGTTGTAAGTTTTAAAAAACATTCTGTATAACACCAAAATTTGTAGATTGAAAGCGAAAGTCCACACCCCAAAAATTATCAAAATGGAATATTCGAGTTATTTACAAAATTCAAAAAATTTTCACGATCTGTGAGGCCATCGAGCGACCAAACGAAGCGATTTCGGATATAGGTCAATTAGCCTAAACATGCTTATTTTGAGTCCACGAATCTGTGGTCTTCCGTTGTACACGTTATTCTGGGACACCCTGTACATTTGAATGCGACTTCTTTGAATCAATGTTGACGATAATTGATTTATATCAATATCATTCAGGCCATGGAAAAATGAAAAAGAACATTTTTTCTAAAAAACTATTGTACGTAAAATTTGATACAGATATTTATACAAGGTATCCCAATATTCAATGGATATGGGGCGACCACAGTTTCCTCCGAACAAAATAAACAGATTTAACTAAACTTGTATCTACCATAAGTTACTTCGTTTACCGCTAGAGGACAAATTGTTTTTTTTTAATAACTAAATTTGCAATGCAAATGCAATGCAATAAAGTGTTTCAATTAACTTTCAATGGTAAATCTATATTCGTAATAATTATAACTATGTTCGATAATGAATAGAGTGTAGCATAAGTTACTTTTTGTCAGTAAATCATGTTCTACAAGCTCTATGATATCTAATAATAGGGTTAATCTATGATAATTTTTGACAGACGGTAGCTAGGTTAATTTCAAACATTTTTTCTTATATGAACATAGGTCCAATTCGTTTTTTTTAGAAGTTGCATTTTTAAAAATATAATTTCATATTTCAGTCAAAGTAGCTTGATAAATAACAATTATTATTATTTATGAAAAATACACGCTGTCATTGACAACTCTTCAATTACTGTTCGGTGTAAGCAAGTAATCTTCATTTATCGCTGAATTTTGTATGGCGTGTATTGAACAGAGATAATTATGTTACATCCGTTCCATCGGCAAAATGTACAAGCGTACATGCTGGAGATGCTCCTGAGCGATTAGAATTTTGTAGCTGGTTACTTCATCAACATGCACAAAATGATAGATCGCTTGTCATGTGGTCTGAGGAAGCCTGTGTGTTACTAGGGAGTGTATAAATAACAATCATAACAATAATTCATCACCTGTCCGTGTTTTAAATGATCGTTTAAATGCAGATCTGTATAGAACTCTCTTGGAAAATAACCTTTTTGATTTCATTGATGACGTAGGGCTTAATATTGTTCAAAATATGTGGTACCAGCGCGATGGTGCACTACCACATAGAGGGAGACAAGTAACTGCTTGGTTAAATGATCATTTCCCGAATAAATTGATATGTCAACAAGGTCCAATCGTGACCACCGTATTCCCCAGATCTAAAACCTTTGGACTTTATTTATGAGGATGTGAAGTAGCTTGTCTACCGTGTTAAAATCACTACCCGTCAGCAATTACTCGAAGTAATTCAAGATGCAGCTAATGCATGCAGAAATGATCCAAATAGATCTTGTACAGCACCCTGTAATCGATGCAATGAAAAGATTAGTTTAACTTCAAATGGAAAACTTATATCTATAATAATTATAACTATCTTCGAGAAATCCGTGAATAGAGTGTAGAATTGGCATAATAATTGGTGTAGTAACGTTTTTCATTATATATTTTCTTCAATTATTTTTACCAGAATATATAATATGGTAAGTTTCCGTTTGGAGGTTGTTTTTAAATGCTTTCTTGATATAATATATTAATCCCTTATTGGCTACAACCAAAGCCATAACTTCGCGCATATTAAAAAGTTGGTAGGTATATTAATTTCCTAATATGTAACTGCGAATTTTGTAATAAGGAAAAGAAAATTGATTTGACCAAAAAATTCTTCTGTTTCTTCTTAAACCATACAGGGTTGCCCTTACGTGCTTTCCAATAATAAAGTAGCAGATTGATGCTTCAGAAAGTATTTGCACAAGTTAAGACTAGTTGAAGATGTAAACACTGATAAATAAAAAAAGTTATGACTCGTTTCATTACTAGACAGCAAAAAGTGAAAACTTTGGTGTTGATTTAACAAACTCGTATTAAAATAAATACCTTCTACTCTTAACATTCAGAGCCTTCTTCATTAAGTAGGTATACCAGTATTAACAACTTATTTGTAACCGTTATTCCTTTCGTTAATTTCGTTAATTTGTTGAAAAATGGTTGTTTCTTCTATCTACGTGTTAAGAGTCACAATTTTTGAAACTTTGAGAAAATCGGGCGCTTATAATTTTTTTTCGACTAATAATAATTCGACATCTTCGACCTGAAATATATTTTTTTATTTCATGAACTTGGTCGACTCATGACACCCCAAACAAAGCAATATTTTCATTTTTTGTAATAAAATATACCTATTCACCCAATAATGGGATGCATTAAAATTTTTTTGTGTCCAAAATTCAAAAATTTATTCAGGTATCTACTTTCCATCTTATTTACGGTTATTCTTTTACATCCGCATTCTCTACATATAATTTTAAATAATAGGTAGGGGGGTGACAAGTAACATCTGATGTCATAAAATTTTCTAATAATATTATGTCGCGAGCTATCCCTTTTTGCAGAATGAAAATTGCGAACAATTAAAGGAAATAATTTTGTGAGACAATGTATGTACATTCAAAAAGATTTCAAATCTTCAGCATTCATTACAGTTTATTATTATTTATTTCATAAATTAATAATATTTAACTTGCAGATTATTTTAAACACTATTTTCCTTTTGTATTGCGTCAATTATGGTGCTTGCCATTGTACTTATTGCGGTACTCGTAAAGACCCATATTGTTTTATTTTATTTT